ACAAAAGTCCTACTTACTCCACTGGGACTAACAACATGCAAGCTAAGCATTTACTTAAGTGCCTCCCTTTGTGGAGGACGTTCTCGGGTATGACATGCCAACTGCAGTGACTAGGTTCTTGCCGCTGATTTTACTTGCCTCCCATCCATTAAGCAGTACAAAGAGAAAGTAATTCAGCAGAAGCGTCTTCTTAGCGTGAGGTTTTCCTCTCCTGTGCAGCACCCGAGGACATATTCTTGGACCAGTTTACCTATACCTATGGGCCGGATTCTCATACTTAACAGACTGGGGACAGCAACTTCCCTCTAATAAAAGCAGCTAGAAACAACTCTCAAGTGGACCGAATCATTTGGGAACTTACCAGGCAAACACTGTGTGAACCCTATGTGCACTAATGTAAGGGATATAACACCAGCACAGAAAGTCTAACATTTAGGGGAAGAAGAGGCAGAGAAAGGAATTATGTAAGAGGAAACATCTAGGAATACCCAGGCAAAAGCTTAGCTTTAGGGCCATTTTTGTTCTATTTAACATTAAATGAAAGCTCCAAGATACAGGTATCTCTGCAACTGTCTTAGAAGGAAAGAGAAAGTATGTCTAGGTTGTGTCTATATGTGTGCACATGCTTGGATGGATACATCTATGCCAGTCAACACATCCTCTAGTCCACAAGTACCTGAGCACTGAACAGTTCAGAACTGCTTTTCTTGTTTGTAAACAAGAACTTCTTTGTAAACACTTGTTTATAAACACTAAAATAATAAACTCTACCGAGGGATGTCCAGAGCTAGACTCCTAGCAGACTGAAATTGATTGATGGAGCCCTAACAAATTACACCATATGTTATCCAGCCTGTTTAACATTCCCATGGATGGCATTTTTTATTTCATGCTAAAAAGATACTAGTTCTAAAGACTGTTAAGTAATGCTTGTTTGTTACCTTCTATAATCAGATCTCTTTTTTTCCCAAGGTCTGCTATTTAATTTGTCCTTTATCAGTAACAATCTTGAAACAGTACAGGACGATTATGATTCCTCTTCCACAGTGCATATTTTGTCTACAATGGCAGCTGATAATGTGTGCACAACAGACCATGTTTATCCCTGTAGACTTTATCAAGGAGACAAATATGTCCACGCTGCTAACAGTTCAGCCTGTATCTCCTCAGAGCCTCACACAATGCCTTTCTGATTCCGAGACCCAGCTATCAAAAATGTTTGTGACTTTGTAGTTCAAAATACCCGTGGCAGGCTGCCACAGAGCCATTTACATAGCATGATATGAAGGTTGTACGTTGCACAGCCAAGGCACAAAGATCTTTGAGGATATGAAGCTTACCAGGGTAACACTGGAAGACTGTCCCACGTTGAGAAAGACAATGTGGTTGATGTGACTTGCATTACATTTTTGGCTGCACTGGTCCCTGGAGAGAACATGCTGTCAGCTGCACCCAGATACCCTCTTGGAAGGCATTAGTCAGCACTGTTCTGGGAGGGAAGCAGAGAGTGAACCAGCATTAGGGCACCTTGGCAAAGACAGAAAGAGAGATAAAGAGAGGAAGAGAAAGAAAGAGAGAAAGAAAGAGAGAAAGGGAGGGAAGGAAGGAGGGAAGGAGGGAAGGAGGGAAGGAGGGAAGGAGGGAAGGAGGGAAGGAGGGAAGGAAGGAAGGAAGGAAGGAAGGAAGGAAGGAAGGAAGGAAGGAAGGAAGGAAGGAAGGAAGGAAGGAAGGAAGGAAGGAAGGAAGGAAGGAAGGAAGGAAGGAAGGAAGGAAGGAAGGAAGGAAGGAAGGAAGGAAGGAAGGAAGGAAGGAAGGAAGGAAGGAAGGAAGGAAGGAAGGAAGGAAGGAAGGAAGGAAGGAAAAAGAAAATTAAAGTGACAATGGAAAGACATTGAGAATCTACTTCTGTAGATCTCACACCCATTTTGCACAAGTAGTTCACATTTAATATCACAGAATGAAAAAGGAAAATCAGAATGGTACTTTGCATGAAGTTTTGTAACTAGTCCTTGAGGAAAAGTTGTTTTTCTTACAAGCAGTTAACAGATGCTGCCCTAACTTTTCTGTGCAGCAGTTATTACACGACTGTGGCCACAAGATGGCGGATTTCTGTCAAATGGAAGCGGGGAGCAACTCAAACACAAAGCAGGTTTTCAATTTCCGTATCAAAAAATGCCTTTGGGAGAGGGTTTTAAAAAGATAAGACAAACAGGCCTAATCAGAATAACTAAATAGGGAAATGCTAGAAAGGGAACTTCTTTTGGCTTCTGCTTCAGCTAGGAATTACTGACAGAAGATTTAAAAAAAAATGTTTGCAAGGATTTCATATTCTACGGTGTGTGATTTTGTCTACCCCACACTTTATAGAATTGATATATACTGGAATTACTTTGAAATTATTACAGCATTATTGTCATCATTATGATAAAAGGATATGTTGGAGTGTATTTCTTAGAAGTCCAGGAAGATAAACTATCCCAAAGGCAGCTATGATGGGCAAAGATCTTAGTCCAAATTAACTATAATTTATATTAAAAACTATAAAACTGTGTCTGTTTATATGAGAGGATAATCCCTGTTTTACACTATGGAAATGTTTACTGGGTTTTCATGTATCACTAATATGATTCACCTGGATTGTATATGGAAGTTACACCTGCTCCAGGGCCACTGTTCTAGGCAGAACCAAGACAACCTAGGGTAAAGCTCTTCAGGGAAACCATACATCTTTCCAGTGACCTGCAGAACTAAAGCCTTTGCTTCAATCTAGAAAAAAAATTAGCAGCAAGCTAATGCTACTGTCCCCCCAATGCTTGTCTCGAGCACCATATGCACCTTCTGCTGAAGGGAAGATACTGAGGTGACTCCAGACATCAGTTTCATAAAAGCTTGGTGGTGTTATGGGTTAGTGGACCATTGATCAAGGTTCATTTAACATAGATTCATGGATAAGAAATTAATTATTATTCAAAAGAGATGCTGGCATCAATTTAGACAAAATAATTACATGTGATCACACCTTCTCACATGTTCTGAACATTAAAACTTTTTTCGCACTGCATCTGTATCTTGCTGCCTGTGATGTTAAGCCTTTTTGATAGTGCTATGGCTAATCAGTCTTAGAGGAGTAAAATATTTATAACCAGTATCATTGTTTTTAACAAACATACAAGTCACCACTAAGATTTTCCTACATAACAAAAACATCATGTCTGTAAAGTCAGATGTTTTCGTATTTCCCCGTTCTAGAGGTAAGATCACTATCACCATTTGATAAGGACAAATGCAGTGTTTCTTAGAACTCTGACAAGTAGTTGCTCAGAAATGGATTTAAGTGTTACCATGAATCACAAGTGTGAGTCACAGGGTCAGGCTGCTGACAAAAGAAACAGATACTGTATAGGGATTTATAAATACTATGTTAGACACAAATTAATCCTTCTTGCCCACTCAGTAGCACTGGTCAGTCCTCCTAGGAAGTAGTATTTCCAGCTTGGGTACTTCAAGAAAGGTGTGGACTCACTGGAGAAAGGCCAGAGGAAAGCATTAAAAATGCTCAGATATCTAGAAACAATGACCTGGGAGAAAAAACCTGAAACGCTAGATTGTTAGTCTAGTGACGGCTTGAGAGAACAGTAACACTATACATGCGTGAAAAAAAAAAAAAAAAAAAAAAAAAAAAGTAGCTGCAAAGAGGAAAGTGAGAATGGATAGAAATTGCAATGAGAAGGACTCTGCTTAGACACGGAAAAAGTTGTTTTACGGTAGCACTAGAGAAGTGCTGGAACAGATCAGCTAGGGAAGTCCTGGGGTTTTGAGAAAAGCTTGTACAATCATCTGTCAAGAATGATGGAGGTAGAACTGATCTTTCTCCTCTGGAGTTCCCCCCAGCCTTGCTTTCTGTGACAGCTACGCTCATCGGGTTCGTACACAGCTCTTGGGTTTTTCAGAGCACAGTGCTGCTTGCAAGGACTGGCAATCACAGGGCAACCCTGGAAAGCAGCCAAGGGAAATCCTACACTCCTCAGGCTTCCATTATACAGAGGCTTCAGTTAGCCCGAGTGTACCATTATGATTACTCCCTAAGCACCTGCAGTTACAAAACACAAATAGTAATTTGATCATAATTAAGTTTTATTAATTCTGATGATATCTCTGTGGACGCAGTCACGTCAAACTGGGACTTGAACTATGAGACATTTGTAGTTATTACAGCAGTACAGACAGTCCGGCAACATACAGACTAATGTTGTGTTAGAAAGTACCAGTATTTCTGTGTGAAGGACAGATAGGAGAACGGGAAAAGCACCGAAACAAAGCAAAGCGTCTGTACCAGTGTCACATAGAGGCCAGGAGCCAGCGGTCTCAGACCAGCGCTCCCTGTGCGGAGACCGGCGGCTCACCCCATAGCGATTACCGTGAGAGCCTAAACCCGAGTTTCCTAAATACGGGCTGGCTGAAACTTCCTTGTGGGTTGAAACCAGAAGCAGCAGCAATGCGTTCGAAGGCGCCTGAGCGGCCGGGGCTGCGGCCGGCGGGCTGCCTGCCTGAGGGGCCCCCGGGCCGCGGTGGGGCCCCCCTGGCCCGCCCACGAGAAGGCTGCAGCGGGTCTCTGGACCTCACCTACTCGAGACCAGAAGCCCCCACGTCAGCCTTTTGCAGTGATGGAAACGCATCTTTCTCCTAGAAACAACTTCGGTCATATGCCGTGGCCGCGCTTGCCTCCGTTCCCTCAGATAACTGACAGCGCTGTTTCCGAGCAGCCAGGGCTTACAAACAACGCAAGCGCCCCATCGCACAGCAAACGTCGCCTCGGCGGTGCTTACGGGAGGCGGGCATGGTGCGGGCGGCGCGGCGGAGGAGGAGAGGGCGGGCGGCGACCCCCCCGCCGCCTCCCTCGGGTTCCCGCCTCAGCACCCACCCTCAGCGGACCCGCGGGCAAGGGCAGCGCGGCCCGCCCTCACCTGCCCCGAGGCGGGGCTCCCCGCGGGGGGCCGGGCCGGGCCGGGCAGCCGCGGCCCCCCGGGCGGCTCATGCGCATTGGCCCGGGGCGGCGGCGGCGGGAGCATGGCGCCGCGGGTGCTGCCGCTGCCCAGACAGCAGTCCTTCCGCCCGCCCCCCATCCCCAACCCCTTCGTCCACCCGGCGCGCCTCAGCGCCGGCGACAAGCTACGGGTAAGGCTGGCGGCGGGGGCGTGGGAGGGCGCCGGGGCCGGGCGGGGGCTGCCCGGGAGCCCGGCCGGTAGAGCGGCGGGGGAGGCTGTCGCCCCCGGCCGTGCCGCCCCGGGCGCGGCTTTCTGCCGGCTCGTCTAAACCAGCGTTCCTTTCGCCGCTGCGAACCAAGGGATTGCCACCGGTGCGGTGCGGAGGTCAGCGCTCGTTTTACAAAGCCCTCCTGCCGATGGGAGGATGCGCCCCTGTGAATACACCGTTTAAAACTGCCGCTTGCCCCGCCGACACCGCTCTCCTGCGTGGCCGGGGCACGGGCGCGCTGGGGCCTACCCTGCCCCCGCCGCGCTGACCCCCGCGAAGGGACAGCAGCAAACCGGGCACTCGGTGAAACTTCTACGGCTCCCGTCTTTGCCGGGAGAAAGCATCTAGCAAGGATACTTCCGTCCAAAGTACGGTGTAGTTTGCTTCCTGATCTAGTCTGGTGATAGCAGAAAATGAATAGGTTATGGAAATGGTCCTAGCAAAGATGCAAAAGTGTTGAGCACAAAGAAATCACAGTTTTTTTGAAGTTAAGTTCTTCAAGCCATTGCTGCTAAGAGCCCACAAATGTACAGGCTCATCGACTTCTAGCACAAGATTTCCAGCAAGTTTTTGACAAGATCTGTAAGGTCATTACAGGTAACACATTACTGCTAGAGAAAACAGAAGTTGTGTTTGACTGTTTTCCTTCCTGTTTGAAAGCAAGAACTAAATACTGTCCATTTGTCCATTGTGTCAGGTGTCTCAGCTCTAGAGGGAAGATGACGGTAACTTCTCTCTGATACAGTAAGCTAAAGTAGAAAAGAACCTTTTACAGTAATCCTGTTTCAGATGCTTAACTCTAGCCAAATTTTAAGTGTGTGGGGGGGTGTGTGTGTGGTGTTGGGGAGGGAAGAGAAGGTAGAGTTTATCTCTTGGTTCCATACTGCAGTGTGGACAACAAAAAAGGTATCCCCAAGTCCACTGGGTTGATGACTGGTGGTGTCACTGGGTGAACTGAACTAGGGTTCTAGGCTGAATGATGTCCCAGTACAGCTCGTATACAAGCGCACACAAGATTTACAGGGTAATTTTACAACTAAGAAAGCAAACAGTATTTCTGGGCTTTGATTTTGAAAACATTCTCTTTAAAAACTGAGCTGGTGAACCAAGTATGAACTGACATCTCAATGAGGACAATGAGGACATCAGTGTGTAGGTGAACTTACAGCATTTTCTGCTGATTGTTATAAATATCTGAGGCTGATTTGCAACTAAATATTTTATGTTTCATATATCTCTTCCTCAATTTATAAACAATGCTTGCCCTGAAGGTAGCTGAGTGGAGGAAATGTGAGAAACCTGGCAAACAATTTCAAATCCTTTTATCCCCTATGTTTTACTAGCAGCCTGAAACACATTTCAAGTGAATCTGAATCAGTAGCTGTAGGCATAAACCGTGAGCTAAAGAATCCACTTCCTTAATGAGGTTCCAGAAATGGACAGCTTTCAGTGCTGGCTGTTCTTTCTAGAGGATGCACAGACTTCTTTCAAAAGCTTGCAGTTTTAAGCTACAGTTACCATTTTAGCTATAACAACTACATCCTACTTTTATTCTTCAGGAGGAAGGGATGAAAAACATGGTATGTCAGAAAGCAAGATACACTCCATACATAACTCCACAATACACCTGGAAGGAAAAACACCCAGCTGGGTTAGGCCTGGTGCTGGTGAGCTTTGAAGCAAACTTGCAGTAGTCATAGAGTTCTAAAGCAGAAAGAAACAAGAGAGCCCACCTTTTTGTATTGTGTATTGCTCCCTTCTCATCTTTTTCCCCTATAGTCATAGAGACTAGGATACTTCCTACTGTCTGCTTTATCCTGTAAACGTCTGTTCTTCTCTTGCCCTGCACTGCGTGTTGGACCAGCTGCAAATCAGAACCTTGCCAAAGAGTGTTACTATAAACTTCAAAAAAGGGAAGTGTCTCTTCTCTTTCCATTTAAACCAAGTGTAGTGTATCTCCATTCTTGCCTGTTAAAGGATTCTTTTGTTATATTGCCCTTATTCTATACTCTTCCTTTAACATACACTGATAAAAACATAGAATTTCAAAACCCTGTCTGGGAGCCCAAAGCTGGATTGTCATACGTTGGTGAACTTCAATGTGAAGGCTGCTGTCTCTGATGAATGGAGCTTGAAAGTGAGACAGACTAGCTGTTTGCATTTCATTGAGCTTCAAATACAAAAATAGGCTGTAGCCAGACTGAAAAGTGGCGTGAGAAGATTTTGCATTTTTTTGCCAGTCTGTGTATTGCTAATAGTTGTACCAGCCAATGAGATTTTTGTCTTTCTTCCGAATGTGCAAAACAGCCATCAGTTGTGCTGTGCTAAACATCTGCATGTGCCAAACAAGATTTTAAAACAGTTGTTCAAATACTTCTGTTTTCCATCCTCTGACTGAATCTGGCTGCAATTTGTTGTTGGGATTTTTTCTTGTTTTAGTTCTGTTCATCCTGATTGCTCACTTACCCTCCTCACTTCTGAACTGCAAAGCACAAATACTAATTAAGTCATTACTAAATTCCACTTTATTCAGAAGAGATGCTCAGTGGATTTATGTAATGGTGAATTATGTAACGGCACAACCAGCATGCTAAAAGCATTGTTTTTAACCCTGTGCTTGGAAGCAAGCAGCTAGGTTGCCTGGCAGAGCTGTGACATACTCTGCACCCTCATGGAAGACCCTGTCTTGCTGTGCGTGTACTGCTTTGGGAGAGAGTCTGTCTGATCACAGGTTCAGATGTCAGAGGAGTTCAGTTGGAGTTGGGTTTCATTCTGGTCCCCAGCTTGCTCTTCTGCTGCGTTCTAGGTTAACTTGTCAGTAGCTGAACACAATTTCAAACTGAATTCTGTGGCTTTCTGACAGACCTGCTTTTCCCCTTCCCCCGAGAGTGCGGTCCCGTGTGTTGCTCGGGGTCAGCCAGCTGTGGGGACGCGAGCGGGGCTGCAGGGACCGCTGCGGGTGCCTGCAAGAGCTGCAGGGACAGGCGATGCAGTTGTTGCAGTCACCTTACATAGAAAGCACACAGGTGATTCTAAATGTGGGAAAAGGCTCTTTGGATGAATCGGAGTAATTCTGTCTTTGTGATTACTGTATACAGAAGCTAAAATGCCTCTTAGTTGTTAGTAAACTTTGAACCTGTATTTTCTTCTGTATGTTCTTCTCCTATACATTTTCTTTTCTAGCCTACCTTGACCCTTCTCTTTTCTTTTTCTTACCCTACTCTGCAGCTGATGGAGCAGAAATAAACTGCCTCGTTACACAGTGACCTAGAAAGCCACTAACTTGCATCAGCAAATCAGTACCACCTGTGCATCTGCTGAAAATAAATTAATTAATTTATTAAAGTTTTGAGGAAGGGATTGTTTTGCTTTTGCTACCGTATCCTTTATTTTTCATTGTAGGTCAGTGCATATATATTCTTTTTTTAATAAAGTTATGTCAAAATATGCCAATTTATGCTTATGCTGCCCATTCTGGATAACTGAATGCAGCTGAAATGTTGAACTGGGACTGTAGACGATAGCACAAGAAGACACATAGGGAGAAAAAAGTCACATCTGATATGAGGAGACAAGCAAGGGTTCTTGCTACCTGACTTTTTCAGATTCTCCACAACTGGCACCAAAGAGAGCAGGAACAATAGATCTCTAGCACTAAATCTCTCATACGCACCTACTGAACCCATTTCTGTGATCCAGAGCAGTCCTTTTCCTGTTGTCCTTGAAGTTATGGTTAAAATTCCATAGCTAGTTACATACAACTGTTACATAAAAGAAGGGAATAATCATAACCAAATGTACAAATCTCTCCTGGAAACATGTTATATAGCAGTGCTTCCAGAGCACAAGCATCAACACAGTGTACCTGCTCCTCATGCTTATCCTAATTTACACTGTGTATCCACTGTCATGTTTTGTCTGTTGTCACTGTGCCTTCTGTAACACACAACTGAGACCTGAAGGCCCAAAATTCCTGTTAATCCTCATCAATATCACAGAGTTCAGAGCCACAGCCTCTCCTGAACATGGACAAGAGGAGAGTAGGAGGACATTATGTGAGGATGGAAAGGTTTTGGTAGGGAGAGAAAGGACTGTGTTGATGAAAGGTGGATCACAACCAACCTATTAAAGAATTGGATAAATAATACTCAGATGCTTATATTCCAGATGTACTACAAACACCTGTTCCTTTTTAAAGAAAAGGGGAAAATTAAAATCCACCGTGTTGCTTAATAATCACTGCTCAACTACGTAAGCTGCAAACTATTTTCTAAAACTTACTATTAAAAGCCTTGCTTTTTCTGTATACTAAGTAGCCATTGCTAAAGAGCTGACTAGAAAGGCTGATTTTGAGAAAGGAACACTGTTGTTCAGTTGTAGACTTTCCTAAAAAATAGTAAAGTATAAAAAATAGTAAGCTCATAAGCATAAGTTAAACTAGTATAACCCCCTTCAGTAACTTCTGCTGTATTTGTGAAGTGGCAGAGCTGTCAGTCTGTGACCAGCAGATGCACTCTCATGTAAGTTTTGAGGGACTTTTAGAAACATAGCCCAAATAAAATAAAATTAAAGGAAAAAAAATCACTATTACAGTTCTGCTTGGGTGTGTGTTGTTTTGCGCATATGCGTGCACACTCGGCTGACCCTCGCCGGTGAGTGGTCGCTGGGCTGGGTTAGGTGCCAGGAGGAGTCGAACCGTTTCCCAGCGTATGGGGGGCGGCAGGCTGTGAGCTGGGCACGCTACCCCAGCTCGCCGGCCTGCGCCTGCTCAGGCTGCGGAGTGCTCTGTGCTGCCGTAAAGGCCAGCCTTCGGGATATAGTTTCTAACCTAATTTACCGGGGTAAAACAGTTAAGAGGTTCTTCCTGCGCTGCCTCACAGCTGCCTGTTAACATCTTTGTGCCAGTACACCTGCTTCCTGGAGCTGTGCACAAAAAAATGCAAACTAAAAATTCCTCAGCGGGGGCAGGGGGTGATATTTGCGGATTATTTGCAACCAGGGCATGTTAGTGTTTCAACTTCACTCTTCTTACAAACATACACGAAGAAGTGGTGAACAGGCTTAGATCTGTTTTATAACAGTTTTGCTACCTAACTTGGCTGTCTGTGACTGTAGCAGAACTCTCTCAATAGTTTCTTTTGCTCCAAGTTAAAGCAAGCCAATAACAGTTTCCTGATTGCGGGAAGGAAAGGTAATTAAGCTTTCTCAATTTATTCGGAAAAATTCAAGGAACTTCTAGCACAGAGGTTAATACCCAAGATGCTTCAAACAGGAGTCAACAACTTAATCTTCATAATCAGAAGGGTTCTACTCTGTGTTTGCAGGGAGCTGTGAGCCAAAAGCTGCTACAGCAGCTTCAACAGCACAGCAAAGTCTGAACCTTTTCCTTAAACCACAGGTTCATTTTTACTGAAAACTCCATTTTGCGTCAGTCCTAACGAGGGGTAATTAAGTTGTGTTGCGTGTGCACTATTCCAGGCAGCAGTAGTGAGGATCACTTGCAGCAGTGGTGTGACTCAACAAAAGATTTATTATTCTGAAAGGGCAAGAATACATTTTAGTCATCATGACAATCCCACTTGGCTTCTAGACAGGCAGGTAGTGACAGAAGGTTGCAGTGGAGATCTGTATCAGCTGGGCAGACTCATCTGAGCCTGTATGCTTCAGACCAAGTCTAAGCATAAACTAAAGCCAGCAAACTCTGTTTACCCTCTCTGTCTGACACATTCAGGCTAAAATGAAATATACTGATGTTCCCCTTATGCCTGAAATGGGAACCTGAAAGTAAAAATGAAATGCTGTGAATCACTGACTTCCCCAGATGAAACACTGGACTCATTAATGCTTTCCTTCCTGAATCACATAACAGCAATGTTAGTATTTTAAAGTCAGTCTAATGTAACTACACAGGTATCGGTGTCATTCCTGTTGATACCATTTCTTAAGATTTTCCCCCCTCTTTTTTTCCAGACTGTTCTTCAGGGGATTATTTTGCTACCAATTCGTGCCATATGCATTGCATTCATTTTCCTGCTAGCATGGCTGTTTGCATCAATTGCAACTTTCTGTCACCCTGGAAAAGGATCTGTGCCACTTAAAGGATGGAGAAGGTAAAAAGTGACCAGTATTTATGAAAACTCTGTGTTGTTTTTTTTTTTTTTAATAACACCAGGGTCTAAAGATGTTGGGGTTTTTTTTGCCTTTCACCTCTTACTCTGTTCTTCCTTTTGATTAAAGAGGAGTCCTCAGTCAAATCTTAGTTTTACCGATTTGGGTGAAGCAACTTTTTCAAGAGTGTATTTTACAACAATAGTGGAGCTTTTTTAATAGGGAGGTTTTCAATTGTCTTGAGGCTAAAACAGAACTTCATATAAATCTTTATAGACTATTTATAAACCAGGACTGATTTGAGTAATACTACTGATAGGAATATTAAAGAAACTCATTAGGAAGAGTATTTGGTAACGTTACATAGGCTGAATTTCAGTGTAGCCTTTGTCATTCCTGCTATGCTATAATTTATGGCAAAATGAGCTTTGACAGCTCCTCTCTTAGCTATGTTGCCCTTGAAGGAGCGTTTTACAGCTTCCTCTGTGGGTTCTGGGCTTCAGTCACTCAGCTTCTGACCTCAGAGTAATGAAGTTCTCTCCTAGCTGTGATGCATTGCAGCTGCAGGCGGGAGGAGGGGACACAGGAAGGGCAGAGAGATTACAGAGAGCCCCTACTGAAGGAACATGTTCCCATAAGGGAACGTTGTCATTTAGTCTTGTTTAAAACTGATAGTAAAAGGACAGCATCAATTACCTAAGTTCTTATAAAAAGGACACTGAACAGCCCACCCTCCCCTCACAATAGCATTATGCTACAATGCTATAAAATATGGCAGGAGAAATAGCATACCTGGGAGGAGGGTTTACCGAGGTGCTGTACCATGCCTTATCTTTAAAATTATGAGTCTGGTTTCAAATTAAAAGGTGGTGTTCCCTTCCTTACTTCTTTCCCTTTAGCCCTACGTTCTCCCAGCAAGGAGTATTGCTACCCTGTGCCTAGCCCCAGTGCTGCTGAGAACTAGGAAAACTTTTATGGGCATTTCTTTTAAAATACAGAAGAAATACTAACTGTAAGATGGATGATATTTTTGTGTTTCTGTTTACAAGGAGGATGATCCAAACAACCCTCTCATGCCTAACTCGTACCTTGTTCTTCGTAATGGGCTTCCGAGTTAAAGTAAAGGGGAAAATAGCAAGTCTGCTGGAAGCCCCAATCTTTGTTGCAGCTCCTCATTCAAGCTTTTTTGATGCCATTATTTCTGCCCTAACTGGAATGCCATCAATAGTGACTAGAGCAGAGAACCTGTCAACTCCGGTATTTGGCAGTAAGTATTTGTGAAAAAATAAAATGTTATGAGTCAGCCAATTTGACATGAGGCCAAAAATCTTATCTCTGAAAGTGACTTAGGGACAGACTTTTTTAAATCCTTAGATTCCAAAGATACTGACAGATCATTTCCAGTAAAATCCCTGTGACACGTTATCTTTCTGAATTGGTCAAAATGTCTAGAAGTATGCTGTTTCTTTTCAGATATGAAATACAACATCACTTTAAATTTGCTTTATACTGAAAGCATGTTTCGTAACTGCTCAGGCTAGTATCTTTCTCTTAAACTTCTCCCAGTAGGTAGTTTAAGAAATCTGTTTGACTGCTCTCTTTTAACAGTGTGTCCCACAAATGTAGAACATGGATTAGTGAAGGTTATTTCAAAACAGACCCAAACTACAGCAGTCTGGAAAATACCATATTTATAAGTTTAAACTTGCAGGCACTGTCACAGATTTTTTTTTTTTTTTTTTTTTTAATGGGAGTCAAACCAGGAAAGAATAAAAAAGTTACTCAAAAAAGGAAATGCAGAGAATGGAAAAGATCAGATGACTCATGCTTCTATTATTGTCTCCTCCTTTTGGCACAAAAAGAATCCCTGTTTGCATTATTACTAGAATCAGCTGTAGTCTTTCTGCTGGCTGTATGGTAACCTAAAACTAAACCCAGCAGGCAACATAGAAAAGTGTCTCTGTAGGAAATTAACTGATAATATATTGATCTTCTCTTAAAGCACAGGAGTGGGACATAGAAGATAATTCTTCCCCAAGTTTCTCATCACCTCTTAATAGGTCCACACATTCTGATGTAGATTTCTGATTAAATGAAGGGGGTTTTTTGCTATAATTTATACAGAAGCTGTGCATGCTTTGTAATTGAAAAGGGACATCTTCCATCTTTAGCACAGGCTCAGTCTACTTGTTGGTTACAGTCTGCATGAGTTAGGCCTGAGTGTGGCCCACGAGCTGGGACCCAAACAGGCCTCTTCCATAGAATTGTGTGGAAATGCTTAGTGAAAAATAACGACAATATTAGTAGAATGTGTTTGGGTGAATTTGACAAGTTTATAGCCACTGTACAGTTCCCCAGCTGGCAGTGTAGTTATCTCTTCTGTGTCTTCCTGTTTTGTAGATTAAGGACAATAATAACATGCTGCTTGTCTATTTAGTCTGAAAGTTGTTTGTACAGTCTCCTAGTATGAGAATAACAAATTTTTGCTACAAGGGAACCTTGAACCCATGAGTTTTCTAAGCACTAGTTTAAGACAAATAAAAATGTTTTTCTCTTTCACAGCAATTTTAAATTCTCTTCAGCCTGTGTCAGTTTCTCGTCAAGACCCTGATTCACGGAAGAACACGGTCATTGAGATAACTAAGCGAGCATTATCAAGAGGCCAGTGGCCACAGGTAATAAATATACTACTAATCTTTTGTCATGTATTCATATTCCATATCCACTGTGCATCATAATATCACGAGTGCCCAGCTGAATAAGATTTTGTTGATGTATGAAGTTTAAGTCAGCTCTCAGCTGTATGAGTGGTTTAGGAAAGGAAGGCAAGAGGCTGGTGCCCAGAAAGAGTTTTGTTGTGACAAACGAGTCAGTTAAAATCCAGCCAGTACCCATTACTGTTCCAAATGCAGATGCTGTTGACTTTCTCTTTGCCCTATTCAAGTCTTATGCTGTTTTCAGTGTAGCAGATGACTTGCATTGGTATATGTGAATCAGTATTGTCAAGCTACCTCTTGTGTGAGGAGCTACATTGCAAAGCTACACTCACAACAGTGAGGGGATGAGTAGTTGTTGAGATGGGTAACCCAGGCTGTCCAAGCTCCGGCATGAACAGTACTTAAGCTTAAAGCATCCGTTTCATATGTGGAGAATAGCTGAGGTGAAGCTCAGTTTGCTCTTTAGGTTAATAATGCACTAAACCCAAGGCTTTTAGATTGGTCTGAATTGTGGAAAGATTTTAACATGGAAGCAATAGTTACTGATTCTGCACAGTGCTTCCCATGGTCATTGCTCAAGCAACAAGCTGCTGTAGTGCTTCTAGGCCTTGGATGGCTTTCCAGCACAAAGAGCTAATGGGGCAGGCATTGCTCAGGAGGGAGAAAAGTGTTGAGGCAGCAACTCTGCTGCTTTTATAACAGGCAGAGGGCTGGGAGAGAGATCAGCATCCTTTGCAAGAAGAAAGACCCGGAGCAGTTGTGAACCTACTGACATCTCATTTGGCAGTGCCTCTCTGATTCTTTCTGTTCCATTGATTCTGGTCTCACATTGCCTTCAGATACTACAAATACAGTATCATTGCTGTGCTGCTGGACAAATACAGTCAGTGATACAAGACCTTTGTCCAAAGAGATCCTGTGCAGATTTGTGCATAAAACTCATGCTTTGTGTTTTGAATTAGTTCTTGACTTCTTTTCATAGGGTTTAATTTACTTAGAATAAAAACTCAAAGAAGTGACTGGTTCAGTAGCCAAAGTCACAAGACCTCTTTAGTCACAGTTGGATACCGCCTAAATGACTGACAAAACTTAACTCTTCCTTCGCTTTTGTTCCAGTGAATGGCTCTTGAGGAAAAATAAAAGAGGCAAGTGAAAATACAGACTTCAGTAGTAGGTATCTCTATGACAGCTGGACCTAAGTGCACTGCTCTACTTTCTGGATAGTATCTAGAAACAGAGAACACTGAAGTAGGAAAGACAACACTTGCCTTTTTTTTTTTTAAAAGGCATTATTTAGACATTCCATGCATCATTTTTATTTAGCAAGCACCTTAGAAAAAGCTTTTTAGTTAGTGTTTAGGCTACTTTAATTTGACTCAGAAATGCATTTTTCTAAGCTGATGTAAATATTTTTAGAGCCTCCAATATTTCTTTCGATTTATCAGTTGTATGCAGGATTTTAAATATGCACATGTCAGAGCTAGGAAGGCTTTCCTTTTTGTAATACTATGCTTACAAACTACACTGATGCTTATGATTTGCTAAACTGTTACAGATTAAGTGATTCCAGCAAAGCCCTGGTAGACCTAATCTCTGCTGAAAACAGCATGGGGAGGAGAGGGGAATTTGCTCTACACCAATACTGCACTTGGGATAAAAACTAGATATGTATTATGTCATAAATAGTCTATGAGTCGAGTAATCTTGGAATCTCCAAGACTGAGCAGTGCAACCAGGGGTGTCACTGGGTAATTCCTAGTCCTGTGCCCTGGCCACACCTTCTTCCTCTTTTTTTTTTTTTTTTTTTTGGTGGGAAATTTAACCACAAGTTGATGTCATGTCCTCTTCAGAGTGCCTGGGTTGCATTCTCTTAGCACAAGAGAAAAGAAAGAGTAGCTGGATTGCCTGTTACCTCCTCCAAAAACCAAAACACAACCAGTTGGGCAGCTCTTGTGCTTATTAGTAGCATGACGTTCTGCTTAGTGCTTCTCCCAGCCCTGTACCAAAACAAAGGGGAAGGAGGGAATGATCACTTACTCTTTGGTCAGTCACTGATATGTTTTCTGGGGCTTACGACATATGCTAAGCAGAAACATAGCAATTTTTGTGCCCACAGCACCCGCAAACAATTTCTGATTACAGAACATGTAGTCGAGGACTAACTGTAAATGGGTATGTGCAGCTGTCCCTGTCACACCTCGGAACAGCCCGTGTCCCTTGGCTGTGACCTAGCGATGCCCCCTTTCACCTAGCCTTGACCTGTTCATTCAGACTGAAGTGCGAGCATACCTGAACACTCTTTTGATCCAGACCAGTTGTTGTGCTGATGTTTTTTTGGAATGCTGCTTATGATCCTATAGGGATATGAGAAACACAAAGGTTCTTCGTATTCCATAGGGCGCTGGATTCAGTGTGTCACATACCACCTCACTCTGCATCTAATCTAGTATCTTTGAGGCACTAATTCAGAAACCTCCTGCGTATTTGGTGTGTCTGAGTCATTCCGAGGCTATGTAGTGGTGTGTGATGCCTTCAGAGCTCTGCATCACAGGTGCACATGCTCTCTCTGCTTTTTGCTGCTCCCCCTCAAGCTGTGATCTCCTCACAGCTGGCATCTCGCTCATGGTGGTAGCACCTCTAACACTCGAGTACCTTACGCACTTCATGTCACCCCAGACGCCTGATGTTTATACACTCAGCAGTGCAGTAAGGAGCTGATAGCAGAGGAACAATTCTCATATCATTACTGACCCTGAACATTTCAGGTGAAGCACTTAAATCCTTCTGTACCATATTTCTGAACTGATAAAGGCCTCTTCCCAGAACTCCTCTTTTACAAAGCATTTGTTTCCAAATCAGGATGGACCAGGTTAATATTACTGTGAGCATCCTTCACTTATTTATTAATTCCCTTTGAAACAGTAATGATACTCTTGTGATGCAGTGTAACATGTCACAGAGCTTGCATAAAAAGTCAGTCTTTACGTAACAGATGCTGAAGTACAATCTTTTTATGAAATGTGTGTGTATATATGTATTTCTTTCTCTTTAAATCCAAGATACTGATTTTCCCAGAAGGCACCTGCACAAACCGATCTTGCCTGATCACATTTAAACAAGGTGAGAGATTTTGTCACATCGTTGTTGGAAAATAACATGTGAAATATTAATTTGGTAATTCTAGTAAGGCCTGTACATCATCCACAACAGCAGTGTAGTAACATCTTCCATCATTAAAGTTTCAGTGGCACTAAGCCCACTATTTTATACTAGTCAGTTTCGTTTTCTGATTTTTGGTATTTTGTAGGATGCAAAATACCTCTGATGTATACAGTTAGTTGGTTGGAGTTTTTTTCTGGGTATGGTTTTAATCTAATTTATTCACCCAGAAACTTGACTTATTATTATGAGATGAACTACCAAAATACATGCTACTTATGATGTTCTTTCAGCTCAACTTACAGTTGTGCCATCTTAAGATTCCTGCAAATTTTGCTGTGCAAGACTTAGCAGCCAAGTTACGAAATCTCTTTGCGTACTGCTTAGCAAGGCAGGCCAATAGATGATTTTGAACACAGAAAGGTACTTGATACCATCACTGATCATTAGATTGTTGTGCTGCCATTCAGTTAAAGCCATGTTGCTCTCCTTTCTTACTGTTGTACCATGTCTTAGGTAGCAAAGTTACAAAACCAGTATTACATGCTCAGATCCATATCACTTAAGAAGATGATCAGAACAGGAGGGGTTCAGGAAATTCTCAACAACCTCTGAGCATCTAATCCTTTGAAATGAATGCCAGACAAAGGGGAGATAATACACAGAAAATTAGTTTGAACAGTCCAGGAATCTTAGGCAGCTTTCTCCTTGAAATGGAGACTAACCTTTTTCTGTCCTGACACCTTGCTAGCTGCACCGCTGATTTAAAAAAAACAAAACAAAACAAAACAACAACAAAAAAAACACGACGAAAAGAACACTTCCCCTTCTTCTTGCCTTCTTAAAATTCTTTTCTTCCAGATACTATGTCTTACATGAATCAGTTAAAACTCCCAGCTGCTTAATTAAGTTTAGACTTAACAATCATTTCTAATTTGTGGTTGCAGGTGCATTTATTCCACGAGTCCCTGTACAACCTGTGTTGCTCCGATACCCCAACAAGCTGGTAAGCAGAACATTCTTCTATCACTAGTAATACAGAAGTCAAAATCCTGACTTAAACAGTACCTACAATAAGTATTTTGCATTTTCACTGAAGAATCTGTTGTCCTGAGCTCTAGCACTGGAGAGGTCCTGGAAGCAGCCAGGCTTCCCAAGTGTCACCGTGGTGCAGTTGCTATTCTGATTGTGAAAAACCTAACTGTTGGGCTGCTTAGCTCTAGTTAAAGAAAGAGGGAGCACAGGAAAGTATTGCAGCGGAAGTTAGAAACTTCCTGCAAAGCCACAGAGCCTGTACTTTGAAGACTAAAATGCACATAACTTCCCTACTAGTCACCATTTTTTGTTTAAGCTCAAATTACTGAAAAGGGGCTTGCAAAGTTTCTGAACAAAAGCAAAGCTGAGCCATGCGGTACCTCCAACACTCCCTCCTTCAGGCACCTCAGGTGTAATGCTGGGCCTAGCAACTCGTTAACATTTTCTTAATTAGCTGGTCGTCCAACAAATCCAGAAGAGACCAAACTTTTCATTCCTAGTGGTTTTTAAGATGAAAAATAAGTGATTACTATTGTTGTTATGAAAACCAAGTGATTATTATTGTTGTTGTTATTTACAAACATTCCTTTGTAAAATACTTTTACAGATTAATTTTCAAACTGAAGTGAATCACTGAAGGGGATTGAAGTTGCATTTGACTGATAGGAATTAAGGATCTGCAGTATATATTAGAAAAATTAGATATAAGAAGTAATAAACATAGAATTAGAGAAAAAAAAAAAAAGGCAAATAGAAAAAGGCAAAAAAAAAAAAGCATGATAGATTACCTATGCAGAAATGTCCTTAAGAACTAAATCAAACATATTTATGAGGGTGCCTTTCTAAAACCACTGGTGAAGTATTGCGAAAAAGTCTTACTAGATCATTCTTTTCCTGCCTCTGTTGTTTGGATCAGAACAAATGATTTAAAATATCTAAGTAACTGTAGAAATTTTATTCCCAACTGTGGGTATTATCAAAAGTCTGCCATCCTTATTTCCAGATTTTTAAGGCAAGGAACCCTAGTCACCTTGACACCTCTATTTATTTTCACTACAGGACTATAAAACCATCATCTGCTTTTACTAAACTTGTGCCTGCTTTATTTTGTAACTTATCTGATGTTTAACTTTCATCTGGTTTTGTCACACATTTCTCTGTTTTGTTTTTTTATTCAGGATACTGTGACCTGGACATGGCAGGGCTATTCACTGTAAGTTTCATAATCCTACTGAAAATTACATAGAGAATTCTTTTCCCCTCTTTGCTAAACAGACTGCCAAATAGATTCATCTATGCCACAACACATGTTCTTCTAGATCTGTTTTTATGAGGGGGAAATACTTGGGGATGATGCTGTCATGCAGCAGGTTTCATACCTGAATGGCTAGAAAAAGGATTTGCAAGTAGAGAAGCATTATTTCCCTCTGCCACCGTTTTGTTTGATTTGCTCCTATGTTTTGCACATTACATTAGAGCAAAAGAAGGATTTTAAATTGTTCTGTTTCAGGACACAATCACAGTCATAAAAACCCATAGGAGTTTACAGTTTCCTACATGGTGTACAAACAAGAAGAAATAAATGTTATTTTATCCTCTCTGTTTATTCATTCCTCCATCTCACTGGAAGTTATGTGAGACTAAATGAAGATGGGCAAAACAAGTATTAATTTTCCCCATCTTTCCTCATTCAAACATACATGATTATGCTTTAGATTTTTATTTTTGCATGACTCAACAAAAGCAATTCTTTTGAGATCCCAGTGAAGAGGCTATATATATATGTGTAGTGTCTGAAATTGAAATAATTAAAAATATTTCAATAAACCAGTTAGGCAATGGATCTGTGTTCATTTCTCAACACAGGTGACCTTCTAATATGCTAAAATATTTTATTAAAATATTAAAAAACCTTTACAGCTGCACTGAAAATATGTCTGGAAAATACTTTTCACCGTATAAACATTCATTAAAATGTGGATTTGCAGAATCCATATACCACATTTTCATGTGGAATATGTAGTGTATCTAAGTAAAGTAGTTTTACTGATTTACTAAGTGACTAACTTTTAAGGCAACTAATTTTGAAACACGTCTGAACTAGTGGAGCAGATCATAAGGGCCTTTTAAGCTATCATTAATTAGTTAATCCTAGCACCTGCACACTTATGGAATGGACATTATGAAAGCTGACCTAGATGAGAATGTCCATCTCAGTTTCCCAATAATTTTTTCCTATTATTATTACTGCTGTTACCATTATCAGCATACTGAGAGTAATGAACATTGCAAATTCAGTAGCATACTACGCATTTCCCCTACAGAAGATTTATGCTGGAGGACTGAAAAGGAGCTGTGTCTTCAGTTACAAGAGATGGTGTAGGAATAGGTGAAGAAAGAAATTAAATCAGAGATATTCCTGTGAAAGGGAGGAGGCTGGCTGCCCATTCACTAAAAATTGAGAAATGCTCTAAGCCTGGTAGCTGGATGATGAAAGCTCAAATTGAAACCTGTGAGAAGATGAAAGGAACAGCTTGGCAAAATCATGGAAAGAGAAGAGATGGATGGGGTAAAATCTAGAGATTCTTAATAACTGGAACCAGGAAAAGAACATCCCCCACACAAACCTGCAGATCACAAGATGCAGAACTATCACACTCTTTGTAAAACTTCCTGGTATTGCAGCCAGGATGGGACAGTACCAGTCTTTTCCTCAGAAACATCCTGACACATTTTTTACCTTTAATTACTACTTCTTTCTTATTCTTATGCCTTACTCGGAGGAATACCTAATGTTACGTGTTAGAAAATCAAGTGTTAAGAGTGGATTCCTGCAGAAAGTAGAAAAGGATCCCTTAGTTGTTCTCCTACCTTTCCCTTTTCTCTTTTTTACTTTGTCCAAAACAGGAACAGAAGAAAGATTGCTTGAAGGTTTGCCATTATAATTTACCTGATTTAAAGTAATGAGCAAATGCACATTTCTGCTTAAAAATCACAGTGAAAAGAAAAGTCAGAAGTGGAAGTAACTATGCTTATCCTGTTTCACAGTTTCTTCCTCCCCCTACATGTTGATACTAAAACTTGTGACTTTTTCTAAAAGCGGTGATGGGCCCAAATATACTGACACTTCACTAACTCATTTGTGTGAACACTACTATAATTTGCAAAATGGCTAGCAAATACTAACAAATCCTTGCTTCGGTTCTGCAGAAGTTACCGGTCCCATTTTGCAGATGAGAGAATAAAAGATAAAGTAAAGCTACTTCTCAGAATCAAAGCTCTTAAAGCTTTAAAATCCAGTATGTATTCAACTCTTTAAAGTAACATGTATACATTTTGCTGGTCAAAGAACTGTATAGTATTGTTAGTATGAATGACAACAGACAACAAGTTGCCTGCCCAATGGGCAAGCACCATATATATACAGAAGCCCCATATTAAAAAGGTCAAAAGCAACAGTTCAGAGAACTTCAGTGCATGGTAGTTAAAAACCTTGCCCAACACTGGCTGTGAGTTTGTCAATGCTTTAAAAAGCTTCATCTACTTACATGCAGATATTTTGTTTTTAAATAAGTAAAATGTGGTTTTCTTTCTCTTTGCCTGCAGAATAGAGCTCTGGGTAATGACACTGTGTCAGCTCTTCACAAGAGTTGAAGTTGAGGTAAGAATTAGAAATACTTTTGTACTAAGATTCAGCAACTACTGAATATAAATGCATTATTCATATTATTAGTCACTGTTAGTGAATAATAAACAAATGTCTCAGAAACAAGAACAGAATCACTTTACTATATTTAGATTTGTTGTCCATATCTATGCATCACTTAATCTGATGAGTTCCTAAAAGAAAGTTGTCAGAAATGCCTTTATTTTTTAAGCATTGTAAAATCATTGCTTATTATCACTACATGCATTTTACAGTTATAAAAGGTTTCTGCAACTAAGAGCTTACTTAAGGACTCCAGCACTTGTACTGAGCCTTGTATAATGAACCGGTTCCCTTGATCAGTAAAATCAGCTGCACAGCACAAAGCCAGATGAATGATAACTGAAACAACTTACACACTTCATAATATCAGTAAATATACTCTTAACTGCTCCTTGTCAAAGAGTCAACATTCAAAACACAGTAGTGAGAAGCCAGACAACTGAGGTGCAATCAGTTAAATTAAGTGTTGTATTTCACATTCCTTACCAGACCACAAAGGATTGTCAATGTGACCTAAACTGGTGTAGGGACCTGAGGAATGGGAAAAATTCAGACAGGTTTTGCTGTTTATTTCCAAACCACAGAATTTAGCGAAGTTGTGCAAAGCTTTGTGAATACAAGCAGTGTTGCTGCTACTAACAATTAGCAATATGGTCTTTGTTGTGAAACAATGAAATTAATTTTAAGGGAGCACCATGTTACTATATAGTACATGCAGCAAACATGTATAGGTGTACTAAAGAGCTAATTCTCCTAATGATTTTGTACAGAAGGACATATCTGTGTAATTTATTTATGTGGGAGCAAGAAATAGTTAACATAGCCCTTCCATAAAAAGGTTTATTTTCTCCTACTTCAGAACAGAACTCAAACTTGCCTTTAGAAGACGAGTTTCTTTATTACAAAATAAATTTCATGTTCCAAAAGATGAAACTGAAACATGAAAAACTATGCAGCTTTCACAGCAGTATGTGTCCCCAAAGTGAAACTGATTTCTCAGCATCAATGCAAAAGTCCTTCCATTTCTAAAAAGAGAAGGGGCAGATGTGCCTGGAGAAGAAGAGAATCAGACTACTTCTCTTAGGAATGGACATTGCTGTTGCTGTCCCATAATTGCTTGTGCTGCCTCTGCCTGCTGTGCACGAACAGTGATGTCCTCCTGTAGTCCAGGGGAGTGTGTGTGTGCATGTCTAGTCATCTCCTAACAGACTGGGGAAATTGAAGATTAAACAGTGAACCTGGAAGTGAGGTTTAGGGCTGAAAAAGATACAGCATTTGGCAAATTCTGTAAAAAGAGAGACTAGGTCAGAAGCAGATCAGAGAAGTATTTTTACTACTGAAAGAGCTGTGAAGAATTTTTCTTACAGGACTGCAATTTGACAGGGAAGGTATACTTACTGGTCTTCACCAGATAAGTGACTGGGTGTGTGTGAGATCATGCACTCCACCTCAGGAGGCCAAGAAACCAAATTCTTCATACCCAGTTGTGGTTTCTGGCAAACTGGTTTTATGAATAATTGTAGGTGGGTTTTTTGAAGGGGATGGAGGTGTTTAAGCTGCCAGAAATTTACGTTGCTGCCTGAGCAAAACCTCAGCCTCAGATGATGTAATGACCACTTTCAAGACCACGACCCATGTTTGCATAGATAAGCCTCTTAGAGTTCTGACTTCATCTCACCCAGTGATGACACAGTTTCCTGTGTCTGTATAGTGTGCCTGTGCTTCCTCAATTTAGCAGTTACATGGCTTCTGAAGGGGAGTTGTAGTAAGCAGGGACATACGTCAGACCTTGAACAGAGCTGGCAACTGCTTAAAGAAGGAATGAAATCTCAAACCTTCATGTGAACAGCTGGACCCCTGCTGTCCTTACAGGGGAGAAAACTTTTAGCTATAAACAGAAAATTGTTATGGCTATTTGACAGATAGCTGATTCCATAAACTTACCATTTTTAATAATAAAGAGACAGTATTCCTTAAAAACAAACCTAAAAAGGCTGTTCAGGGTAGGCTGCATTTGTATGAGATAGTTAGCACTATATTAGTGCATCACCAACAACTGCAATATAACTGAAGAAACTTACTGACACATAATTAGCAACTGTGTCTTCCAGTGAACCACCATAAGCAACACCTTACACTTATTCTAGAATTGCTGTATTCTCGGATTTAAGGGCAAGATTGCAGGGTGGGGAGTAGCAGAACACAGGTAAATGATAACCATAACTGAGAAAAGGCATGGTAAGCAGAGCTGCAAGTGAACACTGCAGACTGAAGTAGAAAGAATTAATTACTCCTCCACACATGTTGCTTTGCAAACAAACAGATGCTGATTCATGCCATGTTAGATAACAATTCATTTATAGTACATTTTTAGTGTAATGCTACTTCAACTGCTTACATGTGAACATTGAATAAATCCTCAAAAGTAAATGCGTTGCCAAAACTTAACAGTATTTGTATCTGGTTAGTGCTCTAATTACAATTCAGCACTAACATTTCTTAACATTTTTACCATGAAGGAAAAACTTACAGGAAACTTAGCAGTTCCATGCTGACAGATAACAGATACAAAGAGGGACTGCAGTGTGTATTTAAATACATTAAAAATATTCTAGTATATAACATCACTTATAAAGGATTTTTGAAAAGGACTGTACAGTATTTCAGACTCACATTCTTAACAGTGAAGCACTTAATTTTCTAAGTATGAATTTATCATATTTTCCTTCTTTAGGGGTTTGATATTTCATATTAAAGCACCTTCTACCAACCTCTAAGATGTGGGTTTGGACTAAAGCTCATTTGTGTGTCTAGGGCATAAGAGCCAGAGTGGTTTCTAAGGCAGTCGAGACCTCTAGTGTCCACTTCCTTTATTGCATGGCTAATTTTTTGTTCTGTTTTTCCCCCATTCCAAATAACCAGAAGTTGTTCATGTTGCTTATAAAGTGGTGACTATTGAATTGATTCAATAACTCATCTCTTTCAGTTTCTGCCTGTTCATGTTCCTACTGAGGAAGAAAAGAATGATCCCATTCTTTTTGCCAACAGAGTCCGACAGACCATGGCAACGTATGTAATCAACCATGAATAAAATCTTTGAGAACTTCTCTTTTATATCTAGCAATTCCATATATATCCTAGCCATAAAGTACAATCTAGTCAAATCCCAGGTACTATATATAGGAATTTCTCTAGAGTTCCACTAAGAGGTGTCAAATTCATATACTAAAACACCCTGATTGTTTTTATACAGAGCATAAAGAAGGTTGTCTTACATTGGAACATAGTATGTTCGATTCATGAAAAGCTGGAAGAAATTGCTCCCTTACTTGCTTGGCAAGAATGAGTGGTTTGTTCTCCAGGGTTACTGGGCTGCATTTACAAGACTGTAAATCTTAAAACATGCCATAATGTAGTTTCACAGTATGGTTTCATAGTTCCACAAAATTGCATGTATTGCTTTATCCTACTTGTAGCATTGCAAGAATGAATTATCATTTGTTTGGTATATTAGCACTAAAGTAAAACTGAGACAGAGAAGGGAAACAGTTAACTAAATGTAATTTTAATATAAGGAATTGATTTTTCTTTTTCCTTATTTTTGTTTCAGTGCTTTGAATGTACCAGTCACTGATCACACTTTTGAAGACTGCAGACTGATGATTTCAGCAGGACAGCTGACTTTACCCATGGAAGCAGGGCTGGTGGAGTTCACCAAAATTAGCAAGAAACTCAAGTAAGGACACTTTAGCTGTTGGTAGCATAATTACTGCAGTGATGCAGGTGTTGATGGCCATCTACAAAAAGATAAATTACCTGACAACTGACTTGGGCCATGTGTAATTGTTATGGTTAAACCACAACAGTAATACAGTGTATTTATGTATACAACTTACATACATAAACTATATGGAAATCAGAGAAGAAGAAAATCCCAGTAAGAACTAATCCCAAGTAATTTTTGTGGGCAGTGTTACAAGAGGAAAAATGCATTTTTCTAACCTTCTATGGATTTGTCTTACCAAAAGGTGAGGAAGGTAGAGCAATACCTGTTTTAGGCACTTGTTGGTAATCTTGGTGCCCAATTTAAGTCACTTTTGTGGAGATACACAGGCAGTGTGTGATTGGAAGTAAAAACCTTTCTTTCCAGCCCAAGAATTCAACCAGTGGCTTATGGTTCTTAGCTGTACTGTGCAGCCATATTTTGCTAGTGTTGTTGACTTTTTCTGCCTGGATACGGTGGAATTTGAGGACTGAGCCACTTAATCACACAGTAATTCCATCAAATAACCTGACATGGCTGCGGTCAAATCTGAAGTATGTGTGCAGTGAATCCTGACTTAATATGTATGTGCTATGTATGCATTTATAGAACTCTAGAACAATCTTCAGTAGTAACATGGCAATCCTAATTATTCCTACTGAGGTGCAGTGTTTTTTTTTCTGCAGAGAGATCAGCTACTTCTCAGGGTGTAGCGATACAAGTGTTTGGGTAGAGAGTTAGCTAATAGAGCTGAGATCTGTTCCTTTCTATTAAGGAAATATTCACCCTAAAGCATGATGCAGCAAAATAATCCTGCACCTGAATTTATGGTAATGAAAAGTTCTCTGCTAGACTAGCCTAGTAACTGGACAGATGATTCTGGGTTCAGGAAGTTACTCTGAGGACGTCTGATGGACCCAAGCATAGAACTGCCTGCTTTTAATATTAATAGCCGGGGGAAGCAGTCCTTAATTGCTGATTTCATATAAAATATCAGGCTGGAAGTACAGCATTTCCTATGCTGTACACACATACTCTGTTTGGCTATTTTTCGTCTTTGACCACTGTAATAGCTCCTACTGAAATTCCATCTGTCCAAGATCTGCGGTATAGAAATATCTCCTCTCCTCATGTTTGCATAGCCTAAAATGGAATCATGTCAGAGAGCAGTTGGATACCTTTGCTGCTATTGCAAATGCTTCCAAAGGGGGAAGAATTGGAATTGAGGAGTTTGCAGAGTACTTGAAGCTGCCTATTTCAGATGTCCTCAAAGAGCTGTTTCTACTTTTTGACAGGGTGAGTAGTTGATTGACTGACTTGTTGACAATGTTTTGTTCAAAATTGCATCCCAAAAGGATATTTAACTCATTTTGTCCAATTTAGTAAATGCTTATTGGTTAGCATTTCTTGTAGGCAGGATAGGTGACTCTTACAGTTTCCTTCTTAAGTTTCAATGGAAAAGGGTTGGTCAGTTTGTAGCATGTGAGACAGCCATCTCTTGGACCAAGTTGCTACACCACTATCAGATGGTAATCTTCATGCTGGTAATGGCTGAGTACTTCCTTTTGCCTACCCCAGATTTTGAGCTTATGTACACTCTGACAGCTTAATTTACTGATGTAGTTAAGTAGATAATTTAAGACAGATTGAAGCTGACTAGAGTGTGTGTTCCTGCTGCGTTCATGAAGCACGTTATTAGACATTATAAGCACTTCTCCTGCTTACCTCCAGCCCTAAAGGAGGCTATGTCTTAATCTGATCATTTTAGCTTTCCCCCAGTCAGTGGTGATCCCTCCTGTTTTCCACTTCTCTCTGAAGATAAGAAAAATTGCTCTGTGGATGCGCTGCTCTGACTGTACCAAAAGCATTAATGACTAGAGCATAGCATAGAATTCATCTCACTTCCAGACATCCAATATGTGCTACAGTGCGAGCAGCAAGTTGTACTGCAAGTGCTTAGGAATTGGAGTTTGTTTCTTATCACAGGGGCTCTCCCAACTCAGCATCACTCTTCCTAATCAAGCTAGCTTTAGCAGTACCCCTGTCTTTGGGAGGTCTTTGCATTGTACATGCCAATTAAAACTCTTTCAGGATTTTTCCAGATAAAAAGTTTTTACAAGCTCTGAAACAGAGAAGAGTCAAATGTATTTCCTTAATTGCTAAATGCATTGAAGCTCTAGCAAAGCTAGGAAGTCATCCTTCATTCTTGCCTCCCCATCTTGGACCACTGGGTCCTATGGACATGTAGTCCTAGTCCTGAAGCACAGTATACACAAAATAAATATGGTGTGACAACCAAAATAATTAAGGGCAATCAAGTCTCCTTTCACTTTCACTATCTGGCACAACAGCATCGCTGACTAGAATTAGCAATGCAATGCACACTTCTCTAAAAGGTTGAAGGCATAAAAGATTGCAAGAACAGACAAGACTCTAGTGAGCTTTCACTGCATTCATCTTTAAGGAGATCAGCTTAACTGAGGTACAGTGACACTCATGTGGCAGGGCTCTTTTCAAACTGCTTCAGTTATGAGCACAGGTATTTTCAGACTTCTGCTCTGTGACTTTCAGCCTTGTTGCTGTTTTTTTTTTCTAAAAAGATTCCTCAAATCACATAAAGCTAACTATGCAGAGAAGAAAAAAAGAAATAGAGGCGTATCCACAGTTGACAGAAACTACTGAGACCTGAGATAACTGGCAGCCGGAAACATGTGCAGACATGGTCAAGTCTAAGCACGCAGATAAGCGGTGTTTTGCCCACGCCCAGCTCAGACACAATACGGCTTTGGAGAGTTACAGAAGCACTGGATCTCTGAGTAACTCCCTTCAGAAAAATCTTCGTGATGTTCCTTGTTAAAGCTTTGCTGAGTGGAGGAAGCGGTAGTGGTCAGGGAGGGAGCCTTGCACAAGGCCTTGGAGGTCTCCTAACCGGAGGTGGACATGGAGGGAATCTTGGAGGACTTGTTGGAGGTCTCGTCAATCTTATAAGTGAAGCAGCAGCTCAGTATAATCCAGAGCCACCTCCACCTCCTCGCAATCATTTTATGAATGTGGATGCTTATGAGAGTGAAGAGATCAGACAGTTTCGTCGTCTTTTTGTCCAGCTGGCTGGAGATGATATGGAAGTGTGTGCCACAGAGCTAAGAGACGTCCTGAACAAAGTCGTTTCCAGACATCGAGACTTGAAGACAGATGGCTTCAGCTTAGACACATGCCGTAGCATGGTAGCTGTCATGGACAGTGACACAAATGGCAAACTAGGCTTTGAAGAGTTTAAGTATCTGTGGAACAACATCAAGAAGTGGCAGTGTGTGTACAAGCAGTATGACACCGATCAGGCAGGCACTGTTGGGAGAGCGCAGCTGCCAGGCGCCTTGAAGGCTGCAGGGTTCCACCTGAACGAACAGCTCTGCCAGGTAATTGTGCGCAGATATGCCGACGAGGACGGTAGCATGGATTTCAACAACTTCATTAGCTGCTTGGTACGCCTGGACAGCATGTTCCGGGCCTTCAAGTCCCTGGACCGAGATGGAGATGGACGGATCAAAATGACCATTGAAGACTGGCTGCAGCTGACCATGTATTCGTGAAAGCACAGCAGAGAAGAATAAGCTTCATCTGGAAGATATACATGGAAGACCACAATCCTGTACTGTAGAACTGTAGTGTTTTGCTTGTTCCAAGGCAGATGTAGCTAGTGGTAGATAGTTCATCTTTAAGTATTGTGATTCCTCTTGTGCATGCATTAGCCTGCTTTTCTGTAGGGTTTGTGTGATTTGTCAGTTGGACAGCTGTGTAAGTCTGTCTCGGAAAACAATCTCTAGACTCTGAAGTGAGGGAACATGGTAAGGGATCAAAGCTTAGTTATTTCTTCATGTAAAGTGGCTTGCGTATGATTATAACAATTATATAAAAAGCTCGTAAGTTTGGTGTTGATGTTACTGTTCTGATTTGTCAGCATTCACGAAGCTGGAATAAAGCTCTGTTTGCCTGAAGGCAATCACTAGTAGAGAGAGTTGTGCAGTTATTTCTAAGAAGGGGAAAAACATGAGAGTTGCAATAACTATAATGATCAATTAATTTACATAATCATATTTTACTTCCTTCCCACTTCTGCTTTTTCATGCTTGTCTGCTGAAGCAAAACCTGAGTGGTATTGTCAGTTCTACCTGCTGGCCAGGAAGAAATTGAAGACTTATATAAGGCTACTTTTACAACCTTTTTCTCCTTTCTGCAATTCTATTAACTAGTCTTTTCTCTCTTTCCTTCAAACCTTATTATAGTTATAATGAAAACAACTTAAAATACTACATTTATATTTAGAGAAGCTTGCTGTAGAGAAGCTTGCAGTCACATAGCAGCCAGCCAGCCAAAATCAACCTCTGGGTATCTGAGTTAAATTTCATCAGGGTGCAGTGTCCCACTCAAGCTAGTTACGCAGTTCTAAGATGTCAACTTTTGAGTAAAAGAAAAAGGAATAACATGAACTGTCAAAGGTACATTTCTTTGAATTAGGGATTACATAATTGATAAAAACAACTCTTGCACTGCAATGTAACAAGGCAGATTTCTCAGCAGGGCTCTGCAGCTTTAAAAGCAAATTGTCTAGGGTGTGTGCTAGCTGACTGGAATGTGAAAGGATGAGTTGAGTAGCACAGCCTTGCACTACAGGCAGGTCTCCAGATGTAAGAGTCCACCCCTCCCCAAGGAGACATCAGTGACTAGTTGAGAAATACCACACAATACCTGCAGGGCATTTGCATGCTAATGGCATGCTGTGGTTTGGTTTTGTTTCTAAATTTCCATAGCTTTGATTTCTAAATCCTGCAGTTACATTTGGCAAATAGTATTTTCCAAACCGACCAAACCTCCTCCCCAGTATACTTGCAGACACCTCTTACTTGCAACTTACGAAGAAGTAACTTACAACTTTTGCCCAGACCTTTTTCCTCCTGCACTTTGTTTAATACCAAGCTGGGTGACAGAAACAGTAAAAATATTTGTATTGGCCCAAATTGTAATGAAAGAAGTCGGTTCCTCCGTAATGGCATTCACCCCACTCCCAGTTGGAAAAGCACACAGTTATCCCCAGTGGCATCTGGGCTCTCAGTAATAGAAAAGTGAGCACGAGGAAAAGTGTGATACCTCCAGGTGAGCACCATCCTACCAGGTTTGTTTCAGAATTTCCCTTTCTGACTAGTTAGAACTTGCATGTAGCAACAGGCAGTGGGAATTCTGGAGTTACAGCAGTAGCCTCTTACATGATGAGCCTGGATATGAACACAAGAGGTGCATCTGCAGTTCCTCCCCAAATGGTCCAGTTGTAGCTTCTCTGTGGTAGCCCTGTAAGTGACTCAGGGTTTACTTAGCTAAATATCACTGACTAGTGCACACACACACACACTGGATCTTTCCCATTGCCTTACATAGTGAGAAAAGTGTTTTGAAGCAGTAGTGCTTTAGACTTTATTGACCACATCTGTCTTGCAGTCTTTGTGCAACTCTAAATGGAGACTGCTTATGACAATGCAAACTTTGTTGCTTCCCAATGTGTAAGATTTAAGTATTCTATAAAAAAAAATAACAGAACCCTAGTTACCATATCATGTTACAGTGAAAATAGTAGCAGAAAACTAGTTTCCTTAAAGAAAACAAGAGTTGTCGAGGTTACACTATGTTTTGATTATTTGATGTAACGTAAATACAAATATCTAAATATTGATGTTCTACTTTGCTATTTACAGAATTGGAGCTCAGCTCACATGTTGCTTCCTTAAAATATTTGTGGGTGCACAGGCTGCAAACACAGCTAGATATGTGTAGAAAGACTATTGCAAGTGCTTGTCTGCAGTGGTGCCACACAAGCACTAAAGGTTTTCCTGCATTTTCAGTTTAACTTCATCTCTTTTTCCAGGCAACGACCCTATCATTTCTCCTTAACCAAAATGCCAGAGCATCTGGAAGTTAGCCAGCATCCTTGGGTTTAGTAGAGCTAGTCACAACATGATCTTGCAAGTATAGTAACTTTATTTCCTACTCAAAGGGCTGGAGTTCTGTGTATCAGATTGCACTCAGTTTTGATTACTGGGTTTTAGCACTTTAATGAAAGTAATATGACCCTTATTAGCTCTTGTGATTTTTCCATGTGCAGCCACAGCTGTGTTAACTTATTTCAGAAGTTGTTGTTTAATGAGACTATTTTACTTAAAGTTTACTTCCCAGTTCTTTTCCTGTGATACATATTCTTACCTCTAAAAATAAATTAAAAAAAAATATTCTAATCACATCAAACAATCCTTTGCTAAGGATACCATCTATAAAACTACCCAAAAATAATATTTAATGGAACTTTGAACAATTATTATCTACACCCTTGCTTCAGTTGTTTTAAGCGTTTAGGTTTATAACGATACATTTTAAAGTTAGATCTGTTATCTCTGTTTTGAAAACTAGGATGTAGCCAAAATATTTAGTTAAACTCTGCAGCACAATGAGAGCACAGATTTGTAAATAAAACACCATTTATGGGAACATTGTCCTTTTCCAATGATTAAAAACTGTCAAAAGTTTCATCTGAGACACACATGAAAGTAACTTAAAGACTATTCATATCTTTGCTAAAAGGTTTCACTAAAATTCACAGGTTTTTAAAGTACAAGATGTTCAAAGGTTGCATGTCTTCAAAAGATTGGTTAGACCATTGAAATAAAGAAAATAACAGTTGTCTGTGCAAAACAGTCCTGGTTTGGTTTTTAAGGCTAAATGAAATTCTGTCTTAGCAGTTTTAAATCCTGTCCAATGTATAACTTCATAAGAAAAAATTAGTACTGAACATATTATTACACGTTTTGTTAATTAGGTACTATCCTAAAACCTAAAATTCACTGACAAAAATCCCTCTTTCATAGAACTCAAGATTTTCAAAGCACTCTACAGAGTAGTAGCCTTAGCCTATCTCCACTGGCAAGCTCCATATTCCACTGTTCAGCAGCAGAAAACCAAGAACAGAAAGGTTAAGGTTGGTATGCTCAAGTGGGCATTAGAAGATGGTCGGAGAGCTAGAAATAGAATCTAGATCTGGCTGTTCACTACAGATTTACCCAGGAGAACACCCATCTCACTTGGCTGAGAAAGTTCTGTCCTGTTCTAAGACTTAGGGAGTCCACTTCTTAAAAAATCTTTTTCTTCTTGAAATGTACAACACATTATCCACAAAGGGAACTCCACTTTACACTTCTGTTTGCTTTTAAAGTGTTTTGATGAATGCCCTTACTGTGAATGTTCCAGACTCTGAGCTACTAGTCATCTCTACTATGCTTTTATTAACCCTTTTTGTCCCTTCACCTAATGCTTATATGTGGCTTTTCCCCAGACAGGATGTTTCCCAAAACCCTCAAGAAACTTCCAGTGTGGTCACAGGAACACTACTGACTTAAGCATATATTTCGACAGGCATCTGTCAATTTCCCTATCTGCAAATATAATGCAGTTTACATAGAATTAATCACAAATCCCATCAAAGCAGTCTTTAAATGTCTTCTTGATGTAGCTTTGTAGTTAACACACTGAAACGTCCATTCAGATAAAATCTGGAATTCTCAGAGAGGCTGCTACAATGAATTCGTTGCATTTCTGTCTTAAAAGGTAGGACAGTGTATTGGCTTCAAAATAAATAGCATGTAGGGCAATGCATTTGCTTCAGAGAAAGGCTTAAGATAGACCCTGTATCATCAGGCTGTAATTTTGCTGGCATATATTTTATTGCTGAAGGTTCTTTGGAAGATTTAACTCAAGGCAACAGCCTCACTGTTGGCCTGTTTATTTTAGGATGTTGCATTGGTCTCTGAACTTCAGCAAGTGCCATGCTACATGAACTGTTACAGTTACCTTAAACACAGGATTCCAGCTCTTGTTAGAGGCTTCTTGGAGGTCATATACTAAATAAAAACTTTTAAGTTGTTTTAAATCTTTGGGTGTTTATAAGGTAGGAATTGATGCCCAATTTCTAGCTAGTGAAAATATGTATATTGCTACTTCAGTCCTGGTATTGCATATATTTAGTGAGCTATTAGTATTTTTTCCAGGAAGAACAAATACCTCTAGTGTTGTAAACCGTCTTGGTACATGTTGTATAGTTGATCTATACAACAGATTTTAGAGTGATTTGCAATATTAACTATAACTACTGCCATGTGTATTTTGGTTACAGAATGGAGATGGCACCATCGACTTCAGAGAATACGTAATTGGTTTGTCTGTTCTTTGTAACCCAGCCAACACAGAAGAGACTATTCACATGGCATTTAAGGTAAGTTCAATTTAGTGTAAATCTACAAACCTGACAAATCAAGACTGACTGTAAATCTGTTAGCTTTCAAATCATAAGTTTATAGCTTCGATCTGTTATGCAAATGTGAGTAATACTCTTAAACCAATTGACATTTAGAGTGTGAAGGGGAGGGAGAGATTTGCAGGCATCATAGAAAAGGGTTTCAAAAGCCATGTGAAGGCACTAATGAATATGTAACTTGGCAGGCCAACTCCAAAAATGATTCAGCAGCACTTGCAGTTTTTTCGCCTGAGGTTTTTTCTGCTGTGATTCTTCAGTGTCACAAGTAAACAATAGAGCAGTATTCTCTTATGGATCAAGTGCTCAGCAGAGTCACTGTTGCTAACAAAGAGGAGGGGGATAAAAATTCAAGAAGGGCTATTGAGGACTGCCACATCCGAAATTGGGCTGCACGTAAGATCTATTGGCTCCTACTGCGGTGTCCTGATAGTACAACCGGTCAAGGAACAGTAACTCCTTTCAGCTCTCAGGTACAATCAGGCACTGTGTGACCAGGGATGCCCAGGTTGTGAGTCCTTGAATAGGAAACTGCTCGAGTGACTTTTTTTTTTTTTTAGTGGATCTTTGACACAGATTCTGTTATTTTACCCACTACTCTGTTCTTTTGAACCATATTGAACAGTATATTGAGATACGGATCACATTCATCTTGAAGTGGGTACTTTTTAGTTCTGATGCAAACTCAGGAAGTACCAGAATTTTTAGGGCGATCCGTTATACCCACTGGCTGCCTTACAGATAAGCACTACAGATGTTTGTAATGATTTGTAATTTTTCAGGGATGTTTTATCACTACATATTCCTATGAAGAAGCAGACCTTGCTGTTTCACTGTTTTGTTTTCTAGGCTATACTCTTCAGTATCTGTGATGATTATAAAATTAGTAATTTGTTTTAATTCCCAGTTTCAGCAGGAAATTACTGGTTCAGCTGGTACAAGCCTGTTTCAGTCTGAAATGGAACTATGGGTTTTTTCTTTTGGTACTTGCTTTCTTTGCTACTAAATGTTCTTTCCTTTGCAATGGGAAAGTTTGCCTGTAGCAAATACTTAAGAATTACAGACATCCATCCTTGTATTTCTCAAGGGGTTGATTCATAGCAGATGCTTACTGTCACTGTGCTGGGAAGGATGGGGTGATCAGTCTACATACATTGCCTGCATTCCAGTCACCAAAACTCCTTGTTAAGTACAATAATTCCTTAGTGGATGACTGATCACATATTCCAAAATGTAGGTATTTTATGTCAGAACATAAACTGTGGCAACTTTAATCTGATAGCAGATGTGCCATAACTCAATGAAAATGAAGACTAAAACCTAAGATGTTCCAGAGTAGCTGAATCCAGTAGACCCTTATGGGCTCATGGTGACAATAAACATAAACCTTTGTTTATGTTTTGGTTTTATCAGTTTCATATGAGTTTTATTTCTGAACTAATGCTGTGAGGTTTGCTTGTTGTTGCAGAGTGTTCTGATCCCAACTATAGCATGTACATTACTCTGCTAAGTGTCTGCTTAGTTTTTTTACAGTGAAAATACATAAAATCTTTTCCAATAGAAAGTAGCTGAGATGCAACCAATCTCTTCTAATCCCAGGTGTTGTTTGCAGATCACCTCTTGGATACTGGAAACCTAATAGGGGTGGCTAATGTGCACAGAAGGTTCCTAGGCAAACTGATGCTGAAGTATTTCTGCACATTATGTCTTTTCCAGCTCTTTGACATGGATGAGGATGGCACTATAACGGAAGATGAGTTTGCTTGTATCATTCAGTCAGCCCTGGGGGTGCCTGAGCTTGATGTTTCTATGCTCTTTAAAGAAATAGATGCAGATGAAACCGGGAAGCTGTCCTATGGTAAGTTACATCCTTTTGTAATGAAGAGCATCTGATAGTCATATTGACAGTGAGAGTTTCCTACCATTTTTCTCCCTGAAAATACCTGATGGTTCTCATACCCTGTTTCTGGGGAAAACTGCTGAAACACAGACCTAGATACTTTGGGTGATATGCCTAAAATGCTTCAGAGGAAAATAACTAGAGATCAGCTTCAGTAAAAGGAGCAGGCACTGAAATGTTCTTTGATTCTGTTGCTGCACTAGAGCATCTGTCTCTTTTGTACTTTTCAGATGAGTTCAAGGACTTTGCGCTGAAGCATCCAGAATATGCCAAGTTGTTTACTACGTACCTAGAGCTACAGAGATACCACTTAGATATGTTGGAGGAGGAGGATGACATTGAGTTACCTGAAGTCAAACACAGTCTAGTTAGAAAGACTACAATCCCAGTCTCAGAAACAACACCAACTGCAAGAAATAAAGTCTGTCCTGAAGACAATGAAGAGGATAACTCAAATACCTCTGACAAAAAGGAAGACTGAGAAGAGTTAAAGAATTCAGCTTTTGAATTCTACAGGATTTTCTCCCTAGTTATTCATAAAGACAACTGCTATAGAATAGAGATGGAAGTTACAAAAAAAATTTTTTTGTTTTACTTTCATAGCAGGAGGAGTTATTCCTGTTCGAGTGTAAAGGGAAAAAACACTGTGACTATTCTGTCCTTGATGTCAGTATCACAATACTGGGAATGCTGTTTACTGTTTTCCAAGTTCGAGCTTCCACAAAAGTAACAGATGTGCTAGAAGGGGTAAGAGGCACCAGCACTGCAATGTTCTCTCAGAATGGAGACAGGAGTTCACTTGTGTAACAAGTGGAATTTTTGGTGCTGCTCAATTCCTCTACATCCCCAACATCCCTTGAGGGGAAAAAATTACACTGGTGTGTTTTAATTTGCAATATCCCTTAGCCCTTCTCAAGTTTCTGAGAGACACAAATGAGTTACAAGCAGTCGGTTGTTTCCTTTTAGCTGTTCTTAGATTTCCCTTAACTACTTGTGAACTATAAAGCCTAAACTTCTGAACAAGACATGCTGATTCACTGATGTTAACAGAAACAGCTTTAGGCCTAAAGGCTAGTTAAAGATGGAAATGGCTGCACTTCTGACAACAAAAAACTAATTGGAATTCCAAGATAGCAGCTCACAGTCTACAGGAAAATGCAGACAATAAGACCTGAGAATTAATGGACTATTTCAAAATAAACAGAATGTTGTTTACAGTAACAACTGTTCAGGATCACATTAGGAGGAACATTTCGAACTTCAGCATATTTTTATTTTAGTAATTACCAACAGAGGAATGTGACCTTGCTCTGAAAAACTTAAAAGGCAAATAGGCTGTCAAGCCATAGTTCTAGTAGTTAGTATTTATTCTAAAGTTGTCTTCTAAAAATCAGGTTTGCATTACGGTGCCATTACTCAATGTATTCTTAGGGGTTGATTCAAAACCAAGCTCTTTCTAGTCAATGATTTGAGTATGTTTTGCCTCAGTCCCCTCTAGTGCACTGGAAACTGGGCCTTTGCATTTTTTCCATCTTTCATCTGAATGTACTTTATACCATATTTAAAACATATAGGTATTTACACAAATACTTCAAAATAAAAACTTGGAAGGGGTGGTGTGACAGAACATACTGAGATGAGCAAAGTCTAAAATGTCTAGTACCAAAAATAACCAATTTTCAGCAGGTTTTCATATGTGAAAGGGTAACCTCTGCCTCTAAGTTATTGCTTGTATTGTCTGGCTGCAAGCTCATTGCCATGTTTAATTTTCATGTGTTTATAATGGTGCCTATCCTGATGTTTCATGTGCTTAAAATAAATCTGTATTATTCTTAAAAGATTTTACCTGAACAGCTAAGTCTTTTAGGTGCAGTGGGAAGGGTACTCTGTCTACCTTAAGGGTCTGGGGGCATCTCCAGGAAATGATCTTTATGATGTTTTACCTTGATAAACACAATGCAACCTGAAGTTGGCATTTTTAGTTCTGAATGTGATGGCACTTTTCTTTATTGTAAGGCTAGAAAAGTAGGACAGGACTGATGCCATTCCAAATAGTTACTTCTGTTGACTGTCCCAGCAAGAGGGATTATAATACAAAGATTTGCATGTACATGGAGAGATACCTCAATTTTCTGACAGAAAATAAGGCATGTCATTTACAGGTGAAATTAGTGACCTCAACCACAGTTGAAATGTAACAATCACAGCTTTTTGTAATAGAAACATTAGAAGAGGATTTTCTTTCACTTTAGAGGAGAAGCAGGAGTTACCCTAACCGAGCTGTACAGTTAGCTAAAATACATGTTCATTCTTTGGCATGTTAACTGAAGGTCCTCAGCTTTTCAACCAGTAATCTTTTCAATGATGACTTCTATTCCAAGCAGTAAGAAGAAGATGGGTGGGCAAAGATGACAAAAGACAACCATTTCCATTCAAGGTCTTGGAATGCCAAGGGTGCCTTACACACCCTTGAATCCAGCCACATTCAACAACCGGAGCACTATGCTGCCCTATAGCACAGCATATTTAGGACTAATGATTTTATAAAAACCTGCAAGTCATGCAAGCGCTTTGCAATTAAAGCTAAAAATATTGTGTATATAAACGTACATATCCCAATAGTTTAAGGAGGAAGGGCCACAAATGGGTTTGGTATGTAGCAGTGATTCAACTATGCTCTGAAAAGACATCAGCTAAACGTTAGAGACACTAACTCAATATACACACATCTGCTTGATGTGCGGGAAGGGAATACATTAATTTCTAGGCATCATTGTGCCTCAGGGAGCTTTTAAAAGGACCAAACTAAAAGCAGTCTGCAATAAATGAGCATTACATTAAGTGACAGAGCAGGAACTAAACAGAAGGAGAAGGTTAAAAATACTAAACAGAAAACGGTTCTCAATCAGGCATTGAGGGATAACACGCTTCTCCTGAGACTTCCTGAGGTGCAAGTTCTTAAGTCTATGGGCTGCTTAAGGATAATTTTGAGTCCTGCACAGTAGAGCTAGTAGGAAGGTATATTTGGTCCCATGTCACCATAGGAAACATCACTTACTTAAAAAGTACTTCCTTGTCATGCTATAACATGGATTTGATGATAAATCCTTCACAGATACCAAGACACTGTAAAGTATATAGAAACTCCAGCAATCTTAACTGAGCAAGGGTGAGAATCAGACGAGGACAAGTCTATTACAAGAGGAAAACACACCTAATTCACAAGAACAGAGGCCTGTGTGCTGCTGTTTTTCATGTTTTCTGATAACTATGTACATACACTATGAATAAATCTCATTTACATTTTTTAAAAATTAGGCTCCTGTTTCTGAACACATGAAAGGCAATGGTGGGTCGCCTAGAAAAGTGGACCTTCCTTGTTCACACTAGAACAAGATATTAATACCATAAATCCTGATCAATTTGTTTAAGGAAGGTGAATCAACAGGGTCTCCACCAGCCACACCACGGGTCGATTTTTGAGGGGCAGATCTTGTGATCCAAGAAAATTAAAGCTATATTTGTACTCCCTTGCTGTATCAGTGGCACTGCATAAGAAAATGCAGAAATAGAGAAAACACATCCAGGTTTCACATCAGATCACACTACTATAAGATCTGGTCCTAAACTACCAAAAATTACATAATTCCTGGCTGGTTGCTGTCCATCAGTAGAACTATGAGGAGCAGTAGCACTTTGATGGAAAGCATCCAAAAATGGATCTATTTTCACAGTCAACAGCTGTGCAGCATCAGTCAGAGGCTACTGCTTCTGAGCTTTTGCACTCATCTACATCAGACAAAGTTAGGTGCCAAATCATATTCCCTCCTTTTCCTCATCAGCTTGCTCCATAACATGGGAGGGGAAAAAAAGTTCAGTCACTCCCAAATGGTTTGCAAAGGAAATTTTGCAAGACAGCTGGGTGCTCTACCTCTTCAACCACTCTCAAGAACCCAGCAGGACTTAGAGCCCTGGAAGTCTAAAGAAGGGCTGTGTTTTGTGACAGGTCTAATGACCATTTGTGGGACTGCTGCACGGGGCAAGGGCTGCTTGGCCACATCTGTCATCTGCCTAGCAATTCCCATCTACAGCAAAGTGTTGCCTGGCTATCAGAAATCTGAGAAATATTTGTTGAGATCTATTTTTCTATGGTGGTCAGCACACCAGGGTCCTATTCCTGGGTAATTCCTCAGGCACTATGCCAGTACAAATAAATACACCATTCTGCCTGAGCAGGCTTCTGGCAGTGTTTGCATAGGTTCCAAGGGCTACTCAGAATGCATGGATGTGGAAAATCAGAGTCTGAAGCTTAGAAATGAAATGTAAAAAATGTCACTACGTACAAAAACACACCCACACTCCTCTGTGGACAGTCTGCTTGCAAATTGGTTGACCAGAGCCTTCGAGAAGGAAAGCAGCTTGAGATTTCATACTGAGAATTACATAGCTCTACTCTCAGAATGCCACAGGAAAAAATTAAAATTTATTTTAAAGAAAGGCTTCGGAGGTTTGTAGTTATACTCTGTATGATTTGCTAGAAAGGTTGGACTCTGGTCAGTGGCCTTTGGCTTACATTTTTCCTATTGGTTTTGGAACCCTTGGAACAGCCTACCTTCCTCTCTACTTTCTCCCTCCGTGTTTCCACATAAAAAGCACCTACTACCATTAAAAGATGTATTCCACAATGATTAAAGTTAAGTAACTGTAAGATTAAAACATAAAAATTACTGAATTGTGTGGGATTCAGGGGCACATGCAGTCTTCAGGTAACTACTTTGACTGGTATGGAGTGAGAGCAAACTTGTCAAAGGTTGCAAGGGATTTTAATGACATTTAATTAATTAATTTTAAATCTTTACTCAATGAAATAACATTTGTTAGACTGACTAGCAGCAGGGAGACGTTTGTCAGCAGTGCTTAAGTTGGCAGACTCTCTGTTACTATACATAGCCAGAGAGGCAGAAAGTAAACATCTTATAGGATTAGCAGCTATGTTCATAGCTGAGATGAAATTTGAACATTTCATTAGTATAAGATTGATTCTGACATTTCACAAAGCCAAAATGCAAACAAAAAAATGTGTCTGATATAAATACAGTATGTAGCACTTTCTCAGATAAAGTTCAAGAGGCGCAGCAGGTTTAGTGCCAAGACAAAGGAAATACATAAGGGTCATTTAAGGACCCAACTTCTGCTAAGCACTTAAGTGTACGCTTAATCCTGTTGGCATCAACCAGATACTTTGTACTGATTAAAAGAACACAATAATACTAATAATTAGAAAACAGGAAAAATTTCCATGGCTAGTTATTGTTAATGATGGTAAGCATTACATCCTCCTCACCAAGGAGAACAGTATCACAATTGATTAAATTTTATGAAAGTTTTAATTTTTTGTGCTATTCTCTTAGTTGAAGATACTCTGTAACAACCACAGCTTGACTGGTGAGACTTCAGAGACACATGACAACATTATAATAGGAAATACCTCATTACCTTAGCTAGACACTACCTACTGTTGACTTTTTTTAAGCCCCCCGTGCTGCAACAGGTTGAAAGTAAATATATGCCCCTCTTCTATTCTCACATCACGATTATTCTACGTTTTCATGCTATTACAGGCTTTAATGTGCTGAAATTAAAACAATTATATTAACTTTTTTCATCAGTTTTTATTAGACTACCTAGAAAATACTCTATTGAAAATCTTCTTTTGCATGTTAAAAAGAGGTTCAAGTGAGGCTCATCGTTAAAGCTATGGCTGCATGCATATTGCTTTGGTCTAAACTGGGCACGGGTAAGAGCATGTTTCGCTAGTTTCTAGAAGTCTCCTTGAGCATGCTATCCCTTGAGGTTATGCAATGGCTGCATGAGATGCAATTTCATAGTGTAACAGTACTACAATAGGAACCAGTCATGGGTTTTATAAAGGAGACTGGGGAATCTGTATTTTCTAGGAATTGCGAACAAAGTTGAGGCATTTTAAGAATGTTACTTAGTTTATTTTTCATTGTTAATTTGGTGTTAGCAAAAATACACAATAAACACACGCAAAAAATCATTCCCTTCCTATAAACCCAGCAAATAGCATTTGCGTGCAGAAGTGAGAATTCAGTAGATTGAACCTGCCATCAAAGGCCTCTGCAGAGGAAGACTGTCTGGCAAGGCTGTGCAATCTAGTCCATTGCTTAACAATTTCTACTGTTAGAAAAGGTTTTCTCATGGTCTAGCCTGAATACTTCTGCAGCTGATGTCACTAGGTCTTGTGTGTCCCCTGCTCAAGGAGAACTGACTAATTCCTATTTCTCTGCAGGGTAACAATATCTGTACATACCTATATCCAGAGCTTATCATCACGTCTGTTTCACTCTTGCATCTCCCAGCCTGCCTTTCTTAAACCAAAAACCAAAGTTTCTTTCTTCCCTTCATCACAGGTTGCACTTTCTGGACTACTGCGTATTTTCATTTAGGTTCCCTGGAGATAGCACTTTCAGCTCCAGCCCTACCATTCCTCAGCAGATTAAGCAGCTTTCTTTCTGTAGTTTGCAGTCAATATTCCTGCTCATACACATCCAGCGTAAGGCTTTGCTTTTCTAAAACAACATGGCATTGCCCACTCATATCACCTATTGCTGGTCTGTAAGCCCTAGCTCCTCTTCTAAGGAACTGCTCTTTAAGCAGCTTCCAGATTTCTCTCTTCCTACATCTGCTCATTCCTGACTACCACAGTATCTTAACTTTATCCCTATTGAATTTAAAAGACCAGTTTATCAAAAACATTTTGATCAGCTCAGATTATTGTTAAAAAGAGTGTTCTTCTAAAAAAAAAAAAAATCCTTC